AAATTGGCAGGGATCGTCTAGGGCCAAGGATCAGCTGGTAGAAAGGATCCTTGTGAACCTAAGTTGTTATCCTTGTAAAATCAATACCAAGAGGTTTGACCAAGGATCAGCTGGTAGAAAGGATCCTCGTGAACCTAAGTTGTTATCCTTGTAAAATCAATACCAAGAGGTTTGGCCAAGGATCAGCTGGTAGAAAGGATCCTCGTGAACCTAAGTTGTTATCCTTGTAAAATCAATACCAAGGGGTTTGACCAAGGATCAGCTGGTAGAAAGGATCCTCGTGAACCTAAGTTGTTATCCTTGTAAAATCAATACCAAGAGGTTTGACCAAGGACCAGCTGGTAGAAAGGATACTTGTGAACCTAAGTTGTTATCCTTGTAATATCAATACCAAGAGGTTTGACCAAATTGGTTGTTTGTTTGTTTGTTTGTTTGTTTATGTTTAAACTTGCTATTTACAGGAATTGATGTAAAGTTTTTACAAGTCGGGTTACTGATGTCTAACAATAGTGTTTATTCTTTACATAAAACATCTACTAGACCAGTAAGTCTATTTAATAACACTGTTTGAGGCGTATATTCTTTCGTCTTACAATGTCTTCAGGTGTATAGAAATATAAAATGACGAGGTGACTTGTATTAAAGGAAACATAAATCACACGAGTTGTCATTTTAACTTTCAAATGTAGATAATTCTAGACACACATGGATTTGAAGGCTCAAATTTCGACGTTGAACTGTGAACACTATTACTGATTGGCTTAGCTAAAAAATTCCAGTTTCAGAGACTACAGTATGATTGGTCAAGATATGGCAGAGTCTCAAGAAAAGACGAGTCGTCATTTTAACTTTCAAAGTAGATAATTCTAGACACACATGGATATGAAGGCTCAAATTTTGACAGTGAGCTGTGAACACTATTACTGATTAGCTTAGCTAAAAATTCCTGTTTCTGAGACTACAGTTTGATTTGTTAAAAAGAATGGCGCACCTGTCCCTTTAATGTCACGCTATTCTCTTAAATTTTATTATTTTCTAGTTTTTACAGAAGAAAAGTGAAGAATGGGGAGTTGAAATGGAAGTTGTAGCAGAACTACGTTTTAATCTGTCAAAAACTCTGAAATGTCACAAGAAGAACAGCGTAGACGTTGAAGTGGACTTTATTAAACTCTCGCATAAAACTGGAAAATCGTGACCAAAAATGCAGTAACGAAAATATTAGCTCGATCCTTTGGGGGACAGTTTTCACCATCCTTTTAACCAATCATACTTTAGTCTCAGAGACAGGAATTTTTTAGCTAAGCTAATCAGTAATAGTGTTCACAGCTCACCGTCGAAATTTGAGCCTTCAAATCCATGTGTGTCTAGAATTATCCGTGTTTGAAAGTTAAAATGACGACTCGTCTTTTCTTGAGACTCTGTGATATATAGAAAAGACATCCATAGAAATAGTGAGTGAAATTCCTAGTTTGAGATATTTTTAAAGGAATTATATGATTTTGGTACATTTCTAGTATTTCTGAAGACTATTTACATATATTCAAGACTCAAATCAACCAAGCCAAGGACCATGTATAGTGTATTGTTGTATTTTTAAAGGAATTATATGATTTTGGTACATTTCTAGTATTTCTGAAGACTATTTACATATATTCAAAACTCAAATCAACCAAGTCAAGGACCATGTATAGTGTATTGTTGTATTTTTAAAGGAATTATGTGATTTTCGTACATTTCTAGTATTTCTGAAGACTATTTACATATATTCAAGACTCAAATCAACCAAGCCAAGGACCATGTATAGTGTATTGTTGTATTTTGAAGGAAT